GAGGAGGAGGAGGATTCAGGGAGCAGCGGTTGCTTGGCACGGCTTTATGCGACAAATAGACTATCAGCACCCCAGTGCCCCCTCACTTTTCTTGCCTGACCCTCCTCGCCCCCAGCAGCTCCTCCTTGGCGCCTCCAGGAGGAGCCGTCCAAGGGTAGCAGCCCACTAGGGAAGATGGATGGAACGAAGCGGTTGACGTGGGGAGGCGACGCGTCCTGTCGAGGAGCCAGCATCTCAAACTTGTCGGCCAGGGATAGAGGAGGGCCTTGCAGCTTCATCCTCCTCTCCATGCAGTCCAGCTGGAACTTGTACTCGTTCCTCTCTTGCTTGATCCTCTCAAGATTCTCGATCAGGACGCTCTTGGGCAGATCATGGAGACTCTCAGGGTAGTGACGATTTGAAACTGATTCCTCCTCCTCCTCCTCCTCCTCCTCCTCCTCCTTCTTTCTCCCCTTCGACTTCCATCTGAAGAGATCGTCGCTTTTCCAGTCAGGGTCCTCCATCACCAGCACCATCTTGGTTGCCAGATGGACAACCATGTCCGCCCCGTCGGTGATTTTCTGAAGATCGCAGAGCTTCCTCGCGCAGAACATCTTGTACTGCCTGCTGATCATCTTCGAGAAGTTCTCAGCTGAGATCTCCCCCAGCTCGTTACAGTATCTCCCTTCAGCTGTGATGTAGTCAAAGTCATCTTTTCTCAGCTCGATCATCGGCTTCAGCCCCAGCGCCTTCAGCCCCTTGTGCACGTCGTCGAAGTTGACGCTCTCCTTGAGCTTGAAGTTGACGATGCTGAAAACTTTCTGCACCTGCGCCTGGAAGTGCTCTTCCGTGTCGTGCTTGGACAGGTACTTCATGAGAGGGTCCAGCACCCTCGAAGACACCTCGATCCCTTGCCGCTCCTTCTCCAGCTCCGCTTGCAGCTCCTTCCACTCCTCGACCTTGACGCATCTGATGAAGTTGTCGAGCAGGACGGCCACAACGACGTTGATGAGGATCCGCGACGAGAGGATGGAGTAGGCGGTGAAGAACGGCATGACCTACCAGCCGTACGTCAGTCGTTACAGCTTGGCGCAGCATGAAAGTTTGACAAGTCTAAGTTGTCAAACTGCGGAGATACCGAGGGATCAGGCTTCGAGTCAAGCTTGTAGAAGAGAGGACGAGCGATTCCCGACGCCCAAGCGTCGCCAGTTGCCACCTGGTAGAGCGAGAAGATTGCCTGCTGGAAGTTTGAAAACTGATCCGAGCGGTAGCCGTACAGCTGGAAAGGAGCTTGTCAAATGCGGAGACGACAGAGGTCGAGAGCAGCACCTGGACAGCGAGGATGGCGAAGATGGCGGTAACGACGAGTAGGATGAAGACTGAGTTGATGATGGGGAAGACACTTGCGAGGAGAGAGTTGAAGATGATTCTGAGGGATTTGAACTGCCGGAAGAGCCGCAGAGCCTTGAATACTCGAAGCAGCCGAAAGACAGTGAGGATCGGGACTCCCGAGACGATGAATGAAGATATTGACATGACGACAACAAAGAAGTCAAACCAGTTCCAACCGTCCTCGAAGAATTTTTTTGACACATTGGACGAGAAGTTCCAAACAAACTCGAAGGCGAAGAGGGAGGTGAAGAACATGTCGAAACGGTCGAAAGTGAACTTCTGGGCAGAGTTGTCCGCCGGCCGAATTTCAGCCTCTATCATGTTGATCAAGAAGTTCATGCCGATCAGTAGCGCAAAGACCGACTGGAAGGGTCGGCTGTAGTATGCCCTTCGACTCAGGTCCCTGAATATCCTTAGCCTGCCTTCCCTTGCGATGTGCTCGCTGGCTAGGCGATGCTTGATCAACTTTGTGATCTCCTGATTCCATCGTGTCGCCTCGTCCTCCTCCTCGAACCTCAAGTGCACGCTCCTCCCGTTGAACGCTGACTCCATCTTCGTTGAAAGCACCAAGATCCAGTAGGTAACATACTTGGTGTGGACCTCCGACTCTTGGATCCTGATCAGGGTCAAGTTTTTGGTTTCCGCCCTCCCTCCGACTTGTTCAATGCCGCAGATGATGTCCAGGGGGACATGCACTTGATTCATGCTCTCCTTGTCCAGCAACGAGATAGAACGCGGCAACAGACTGGCCGAGCATGGCGCCCACAAGTCAACACTGTCGATGTTCAGTCGAAAGATTTCCTTGCTGAGGAGGACTGCTTGCGATTCACCCTGCAATTCATTTGCGAACAAAGTAGCAAGAATGCTGGACTTTCTCTTGAGGCCAAGATTCATCCTTAGATGAACTAGCTTCCGGCTTCTTCGACCTGCCTCTAAGAAGTCTCTCTCATCCTGTGATAGTCAAAACCAATCAGTCGAGTGCCTCCGGATACAACTCCTCTGATCGGTTCGTCCTCTCCAGCTTCCTCGCTCAATCGCTCCCTGACCTCCTCTTCGACTGATCCCTTGTTCCTATCCCCTTTCCACACACAGAGAGAGACAGACAATCCTCTCACTAACCTTTCTTACGTCCTGTCAAACTTCACCTCCTCTTTGCCCCGCATACGCCACTCCCCGTACATCAAAATCATATGCCTTGATCCTTCTCCTCACTGCAATTATTCCAGCATTCCATCTCAACAGTCATCGTTTTCAATCATCTCCTCCTCTCCCACCTTCACATCCCTCCCGACTCCACCACCAGCCTCATCTTGTTCGATTCGATCCTTCTCTTCCCAAAGCTCTCCGTCTCACTCCTGCTCCCTCCTACCTCGAGCTCCTTCCCTGCCTCTACTCTTCTCTCTCTCCTCCTCCTCCTCCTCCTCCTCCTCGCTGATCTCCTCGCCTCCTCGCTTCGGCTACATTCGTGCGACCGGTCATTTCTGTCCTTCCAAAGCCACCATGAACTAAATGACTGAACTTCTCCAGGGCCGATCAGCCGACTGGCACAGCGACTGCAAATCATACCTGAACTTTTGGAGGGCTCTATAAATAAATCATGAACTTCTCCGATGAACAGGAGCAAGTCGGAAGATCAGCTACCGATTGAACCCCACCCTTCGACCCACTAAGGTACCACTACCCCCTCAAATCCATCTCATAGTACCCCTACTTACACCCTAATTATCCAATGTCGGACCCCCCACCCCTGCACCTGTTGCTCGGAACCGTGCCAGGCCAATTATTAGGAGGGTTGACTCTTTTTTTTTCAAGTTACCGTTGTAACGGGGGGTCAAATATGATCCCGACGGTCATGGTGGCCGGCCCGGCCGCCGCTGTGGCGGCGGGCCGCCGGGACTCGGACCAACTTGAATCAGTACCGTACTTCCTTTACTCAAACCGTAGGTCCGTCAGCCGGGCACAGGCCATGACACGTGACGGCCCGGCGGCGGCGAGAAGACTCGCTAGGCTGGCCTGGCGGCAGTGCAGTGACTCAGTGAGAACCAACCCTCAGGACCCGGTCACCGGCGGTGGCAATCACTCGCTGAGGCTCCGTTCAACGTCCGCCGGGTTGAACGGGAGTAACCATATCGTATTCCCGCTGCCAGTCACACTGGCCAGTGTAGGAAGGGCGACAGAGCCGCTACTGAGCCTACGGTCGGGCCAGCGGCTCCGTGCCCGGTGGAAGGTACCGGGCCATTCATTGGTGCCGGGGATTTTTCAAGTTTTGCCGCTTGAAGTTCAGAAGTCAAGTTCAGTTTACTAAGTCACGCGGCCGGTTAGCCGCGGGCTGGCCGCTGAGTACTCAGTGCCGGACAGGGTCAGAGCCCCGGCTAGCCTTCAAGTCACTTGGCGGCTCCAGGGATGATGGAGACTCGGGAGATCCAGGTTTCGCCCGCAGCTGACCGACAAGATTCAGCGCCTTACCATCATGATCCAACTCAATCTCAGTGACTCACCCAACACCGCGGGCTTTGCCGCCTTCACGCTCTCAACGCAAGCAAAGTTCTTGTAGCCCATTCCCTGGAGAATCGTCGCTGATCAGCGGCCGGAAAAGCGAAGCCCGGGCCTCTTTACCTCATTACCGTAGGGGTTCCAGAGGACAGTATCCTCCCATCCCTTGAAAGGTTCTCAGTAAGAGACTGGCTCAGACAGACAGCGGGTGTGATGGGCTCCCGGGGAGGGGGAAGGGGAAGGGAAGGGGATAGTTGGGTCACCGCGAGGTTGCGGATGGTGACGGACTGCTCTGGCTTCACTTCGTCGAAGAGCACAACCTGCCCTGAGACGCCCTGGAGAGAAGGAAAGTCGTCAGAGGAAGAGAAGTGAAGGGAGGAACGAGAGATGAGGGTGGGAAGGAGAGACGCAGGAACAAGGAGAGTCACGAGCGAGAGGAGCAAGGTTGATGAGTGTGACATTCGCACCTCGTAGCAGCTGTCGACCTCCTTGTCGAATCGGATCGCCTCACGGCTCTCCTGAACCGGACAAGTCAAGTCCGTTCAACTGAGGTCTCCCAGGAAACCTTGGTCTTGGAAGGCGGCTTGTCCATTCTGTTCAAATGCTCGGATCCCTTGAACGCTCCACGAACCTGCGATAGTTGGATGGGCGAACTTGAGTTTGTTCAATGTCTTGGAATGACCTCGCACTTGTCGATGTTGGACACAGCAAAGTAGGTGTGAAGTGCAGCCTGCAAAGATTAAGACGTCAACACAGACTTCTTATTCGCATATCTCCACCTGGAAGTCCCAGGGCTTCGAGTCAGTGTTGGTAACACGAAGCTCGCAGTTGAGCTTCTCCTCATCCAACCCGACCACGTAGGTGCACTTGAAAGACAGAAGAGTCAGGGAGAGTTGAAAATGATTGCAGGGCGAGATCACCTTGAACTTGTTCGGCCACATCGCCATGGTCTCCTCGGTCTCGGTGAGCTCGAGAGTGACCGAAGGCATGTCAGGCTGCTCTCACAACCATCAGCATGCCTTGCAAGACATGCAGCAAGAACGCACCTCGTCGGCGCTGACATCCTTCACGTTCCACACAAGGTTCCTTGCAAACCCGTGCTGCTGAATCTTACCCGGGCCAAACTGGGGAAAGCAGTGGGGGATTCCTCCGGAGATGGGCTTCGAGCCGTCAAACTTGGCGTCAGGCCTAGAGGAGAAGAAGAACGTCAAGGAAGGAGGAGAGGTGCCATCGGGTGCTGACCTGACGAAGAGAACCTCGTGAGGAGCCTTGTAGCTGGTCACGGTGGCGCCGAAGGGATAGACGGTCGCAGAGCTTCCACTGGGATGCTTCAGCTCAATGGACTTGAGGGGCTCGCCCATGCGCAGAGACAACCTGTTCGATCCTGAGGGTCATACCAGCGAAAGAGCAATCGGGCGCTGAAGCATGTACGTACCTCTTGGGCTCGCGAGCAGCGACGCGGGAAGCAGAGAGGGCGCCAGACCTGGAGGCAAGGGAGGAGGACAGGAGGGCGGGGGAGGGAGCAAAGGCTGCTGCATGGGCCACGAGAAGGAGCGGGAGGAGGACGCGCATGGCAACGCCGTTTCACTCCCCCCTTATATCCCCCTGCACTCTAGATCCGCTCGAGGCATAGCTGTCATAAGGGGTATCCCTTCTGAGACTAGTGCGCCACTCGAGGAATATTGTACCTTACGGCCATACAGTTTCGATATGGTACGAGCGATTCGGAAGGATCTGAGTGACCTAATTGAGTTTTCAGTGCCACGGTGTGTGAGCTTAGCCGCCGGCGCGGGGCCGCTGAGCCTCGCTAAGCGCTGACTCCCAGTCCGGGGGACTCGAGTCGGAGCTGAGCACCGTCATCGGCACCGCCCACTGCGGCGGGTACCGTACCGGGCCGTGTGATCCGGCGGACTCACCGGGGCCGCGATCGGACGCCGCCGCCCGCGGACCCGCGCCGCGGCTGGCCCGAACCCACTTAACCATGTTCAGTACAGTGCAACTTGGAAACGGTTAATAAGTTATGCGGCCGCTGGGCCGGAGGATTTCAATGATCAAATTCAATAGTTCAGATGGTTGAAGTCATATTCACGCTTCACTTTCACTTCTTGCTCTTTGCAAATGTTGTCGTCTTGCCAGACTGGATGTCGGCCAACAGTCCTTTCCTGCTCCTAAGGTCAGCCAGCGGCTCTCCGACGGTGGCAAGACTTACACAAAGAGGTAACTTGCAATCACAACTGCGACGGGGAGCGAAACCCAGAGCTGATAGCAAAGTGAGTCAACAAGGTGAAGCTTGATCTCAAGAGCCAACCATGCGGAAGATGAGTGGGATGGGAGATCCTTGCGCCTCCAGCATATAAGCCTTGAAGAGTACCCAGCACACTGCCTGCTCGTGGCCACAGGTGAGGATGAGGGGGAAGGATGAGGACTCCAGAAGCTCCGAAGAGCAACTCACGTAGGGAGAATAGACCAGACGAACGAGACTCAATGCTAAAAACAAGCTGAAGAAGTAGTGATGAGAAGAGGACACGAAACAAGGGGAGCATACCTCCAGGTAGCGATGTAGTGCAAACCCTCCAGTAGCTTCCCCACTTTCTCGTTGTTCTGTCGCAGGAGTCAGGGAGGCAGGAGGGAGCAGGAAGCTTGAGACACCAGGCAGTCTGTGATAGCGTAGAAGTTGTTGATGGGGTTGGTAATCTCGCCAAGGAAGATGCAGCTGCAGCAGCGCCGTTAGATCCCTCGGCATGCTCGGCACTCCAAGATCCAACAGAGCAACGGAGAGGTCTCCGGCCTGGAGGTAGAGGCAGGAGCCCATGTAAAGCAGAGTGGCGACATGGTGTAGGAGGAAGAGAGTCTCCTCAGGGCACCATATCAGCATAAACAGCTGGTCTGCGATCTGCCGCAGGCGCGTCAAAGGATTCACATCCCCCACGCATCTCACCATGAAGGCGCTGCAGAAGAGAAGGCAGGCAGTGCCGGTGGGCGTGTTGGGAGCGGAGAGGTCGAATCTGAGGGAGAGGAGTCAGCCACGTCACCCAGACAAGGTCTTGAGCTCTGTTTCACCTTGCTCCGTGGGTTCCATAGAAGGACCAATCTCTGCTTGAGAGCTCTTCGTAGGTGATGAAGGAGACCTGAGGCAATAGAGGACGCGAGGAAAGGACGCCAATGAGTTCCATGAAACAATCAGTAGAGAGCAGCTCACCAATGAGCAGTGCCTGCAATGCCCCATTCCAACGATGCCATGACAGGATTTTGATGGAAAAAGATGGTGAGGGACTTCAGAGGGGACGGAACGAGCGAGAAGCAAGAGATACGAAGAAAGAAGGAAACAACAGACTTACACGACTGAAACCATGCATGACCCGAGATAGTTTCGGTTCCTCTTCTCCTTGAAGCCCAAGAAGTGAAGGAACCCAGCGCACTGAAGCAGAATCCTTTGTGTAAGAGCGGCCGCCTCAACTCATCTTCGACATCTTACGGCTCTGTTGAAGGCGAAGAAGCAGATGGACATAATGACGAGCCACTTCACTTGATCATGAAAGACAAGATCTGCAAGTAACTTTCACAGACTGCACACCTACCGCAAAAAAAGGTCGTGCAAGGCATGCGGCCAACCAGCTATCTCTCTCCACCGCTCCCTGCAATCCGGCAAGACGTTGTTAGATCAATTCCACAACCCTCTTCCTGTATCATCAACCAGCCATATCACACCATCTGTACGCTCAAAGTCCAAACTGCACGACAACTCTCACAATCTCAATGGTCCTCTGCTGCACGCATTCAAATGTTCTTTGAACCTCATGTCTGTCAATCCGATGACATCCTCGTTCAAGAATGAAAACTCAGACTTTTGCTCAGATGTGACCTCTCTCTTCTTGCTCCCACACCCCAAGTTCTCTCCTCTCTCCCTCTCTGCGCTCCCTCCATCGATGCACGAGCTTCACGTGATATTCATTGCATGCATCTTCTTTCACTCATTCTCTGCATTATCAAATGGATCCTCCCACCTTCATCTTCCATTCTTCCCAACTCTTCTTCTCATGCTCCCTCTCATCTCTTCGCTTCTTTCCCCTTGGCCCCTCGCTCTGGTCACTGAAGAAATTGGCGAGGACCGTCTGACCCACTGCCTGAGCTCCTCACAACACTTCACGCACCCCCACCCCCCTTCCAACGCCACTGTCTCCATCTCATCCTCTGATCCTGATACGTCCTTTCATCAACATCTTCCTATCCACCTGCTTCCATTCATCCACCTTGCTCCAACTCCTACACCACTGTCTCCACGAAATCCTGTGCATCCTGGTGCTCGATGAAGGGCCTTCTCTTGCCTGCTCCTTCCCACCAACGATCCTCGTCCTATCTTTTACAGTAAAAGAGCTTCTCCCCTCGCAGGCTGCCGGCTCTCCTCCTCCTCCTCCTTCACCTCATCGCCGCCGGCATGAGCCCCGCCGCCATCTTCCAAAACTGACGTACGCCTTCTCCGAAAGTCCACCCAGACCCTCATCCCCGCCCCAGGCCGGCGGGCCGGGCCGGGGCCGGGGCCCGCCCGGCCGGGGCACTGTGGCACTGTGACGCGGGGCCGTAGCGGCACTGCACAGCCGCGTCGTCCGATCTTGGCAATTCAACGGTTGCCGGGTTTACTGAAGGACCCCGGGAGAGTTTTGTTACTGACTGGCACGGGGGGTATTGCCGTACACTGATCGGACGGTTCACTGTGACCCGCCGGAATAATAAGTTGTTGTACACAGCATCTCGGTCCGAGAGGCTCCCGGCGCCGGGCCCGGCCACTGCCGCCGTACGGTCACGGCGTGCACCGTGGCACCGCACTAGAGCACTCGAGTCAACGCATTAACGGACAGAATACCCACCCCCAAAAATAGAAGGAACAAGCACGGGTACTGACGCCCTTGAACCCCTACTACCGTACCCTATGATGACTATTTCTAAAATCCGTTAGACTTCAACCCGAGACTACCCCGTCTGGATATATGACAGACAGGTATTAAAATGTGGGTGGGGTAGTCTACCCCTACCCCGTATTCCACAACTGGCCGTCAACAGTCCACACAATGCAGGCTACTGCGGCAACCCGGAACAGGAGGGAGAGGAGGAGGGAGAGGAGGAGGGAGAGAGACGAGGGAGAGAGACGTGAGAGAGGAGACAGAGGAAGTGCGATGCGCATTGATGCCAGAGGAAGACAACGACTTCAGTCGGGTGGCAAGAGAAGTAACTAGATGAAGTTTTGTTGAATGAGTTGCGAGGGGAAGAGAGTTCTAGACGAGCAAGTGCATGCAGCAGGCGAAAAGAGTGAATATCTGCATAATGAAGCCACGAGGCAGAACATGTGCATCATGCCATGCGGGAGGTAGATAGGGAATAACCCAATTTATACCTTCACGAGCTGATGAACCAAACTCCTCAGGTCTCAGCAAGAAAACATCACGAAAAGTCGGACAGCATCGCCGCCAACCAAGGGCACAACATCTTGATTCCTATCAAGGCGCCTTCACCATGGTGAGTCCCCGCCACCGCTCACTTGCTGCTTCTCCTGACCTCCTCCTCCAGCTCATCTTTGGCAACGAATCTGCCAAGGGGAGCAAGAAATCCAAGTCAACTGCCATCAAGCAACGGCAGCTGCATGCTGCTGCTGACCCCAACAGAGAGAAGGTCTCGGGCACCAGCATCTTCATCCCTACCTTCTCTGAACCAGAATCCATCCGCCTCCCTCGCCTCCCCACCCCAGACCAGCGCGCCGACCCCCAACGAGACAACCTGAGGGCCAACCCGTACGGCCTGCAGACACACCGAGGAGACTTCGGGAGGAGGGAGGAGCATCGGGCTAGCGACGAGGAGAACAGGCACGAGAACCGGAGGCCGCGGAGCTCGTCTCCTCGGGACATGCATTCCGATCGGTCGAGCGACGTCGGGGAGCCGTTGGACGTGCGGGAGGAAATTTCGAACCTGTCGCGAGCAGACGGGCGAGCATGGGAGGAGTCTGAGTACGAGAACCTGAAAGATCCCATCCTGCAAGGGTTCAGGGACGTTCGGTTCCAGTGCCAGGTGCTGAAGAAGAAGGAAGGAAGCAGGGAGTTCGCGGCAGAGCACAAGAATCTCGAGGGAAAGCTTGCCCGGCTGGAGAAGCAGGTACCCCTCCTGCTACCTACTTGTGTCCCCCTTCCTTCCTTGCCCTCTCCCTCCCTCCCTCCCTCCCTCCCTCCCTCCCTCCCTCCCTCCCTCCCTCCCTCCTCCCTCCCTCCCTCTCTCTCTGACCTCGTCAGCTCATATTCCTGCCATCTCTGCTTGCTGGCTGACTTGTCCTTCTCTCCGCAGGTGATGAGCGATAGGCAGGTGATTCTTCGCAAGCACAAGGAGGTAAAGAAAGACTCGGGGGCGCTGCAGCGAAACCTCAAGGAAGCTAGAGAGCAGATGCAGGTACCCCAGTGCCTCCTCCTCTTCCCTTCCTTCTCCTGCACCTACTTCTGTTCCTCGTCCCCCTCCCTTGCCCCCGTCCCCTTATCCTCCCTCTTGTTCCTACTCAGGTCCTTGCGTCTACTTTCCTCCCTCCTCCTCTTTCTCTCCTGGTGACTGACATTACCTCAAGGCAACGATGGCGCAAGCAGCGGATGACGTCATCATCCTGACGCAGAAACTTCAAGACGTGGAGACGAAATACGCGCAATGCAGAGTTGACAAAGACCACCTGGAAAGAAGGTGAGAGAGCAGAGGCAGGGCCAGGGCCAGGGGCAGGAGAAGAGGCAGGGGCGGGGGCAGGGGCAGGAGATGGCAGTGGGTAGCAGGAGGGCTGACCATTTTGACTTGGCAGTTTCAACGTGGAGATGGAAGTCCTGAGAAAGCAGATCCACGAGCTCGAAGACTCTCTATCCTCCTCCCGCTCGGAGCTCTCGGGCTCCCTCGCCGTAATTTCCAGCTGCTCCCCACCTGCGCCTCTAACGAGCTGAGCAGAGGCTGAAGGAAGCGAAGGAGAAGGCGGCGGCGGAGGAGAAGCAGAGAAAGGAGGCGGAGGCTTCCTACCGGATGATGGAGGAGGAGGGGGAGAAGAAGAGTCAAGAGATGAGCGCGCTGAGGGTGGGCAAGTCAAACTTAGAGCGGCAGCTGATGAGCCTCGAGAGCGAGCTCGAGAACGAGCGCGTGAGGGTGAAGATGGAGGAGTCGCGGCATCAGCTGGAGAGGGAGAGGCTGTTGGAGAGGAGCAGGGCTCTAGAGGAGGAGCTGGCAGCTGGCCGTCTGCTGGGGGCGGAGGTGGAGGTTGTTGCCCTCGCTGTCAAGGTCGGACCCCAACTAACGTTGAGCTGCAGAGGAGCAAGCTGGAGGTGAAGAGCTACCAGAAGCGACTTGAGCTGGTCGGCCCCTTTGTCGCCTGCTTAAAACTTTCCTGCTGCTGCTGCTGCTGCTGCTGCTGCTGCTGCTGCCTCCCCCCCCCCCTCCCCCTCCCCATCCTCTTCCAGCTCAATCCTCCTCTGACTTTCATGCAGGCGGAAAAGCAGCTGGAGGATGCAAACAAGTCAAAGATGGAAGCGATGAGCAATGCTCAGCAGGCCAGCCTCCTAGCCAAAGTGAGAATGAGCTGAGGGAGGAGGGGAGGGAGGAGGGGAGGGAGGACGACGAAGATGTCGACAGGAGAAGATAGACGACTGCAGAGGGAAGGGAGGAGCAGAAGGGGGGAGCGAAGCTGAGGAAGAGGAGGGAAGCATGTGGATAACCTTGTATGCTGCAGGAGGAGGCGATGTCGGCGTTGCAGGAGGAGATCTCAACCCTGAGAAAGCAGCTGGAAGGGGTGAGGGAGGAGAAGGCGGAGGCTGCAAGGAGAAGTCAGGAGGACGGGAAGAGGATGCAACAGGAGATCACTACCCTCACAGAGTCAGTGGCGGAGGCGTCACGGGCAAGATTCAAGGCACAGGAGCTGGCCCGGAAGGAGCAGGAGACGCTCTATGAGGAGGTGAAAAAGGCGCAGGAGGACGCGGCGAGGAGCGGAAAGCAGTTGAACGAGCTCAAGGATCAGATGTATGCGGAGAGAGAGACCGCGCACAAGCGGTAGGAGGAGGAGGAGGAGAGGGGAAGGGGGAAGGAGGGAGAGCGAGAGCGGAGGAGGAGAAGGATATGGAGCACGACGAGGACGAGGACGAGGACGAGGAGGTTGGACTGACGATGGCGGGCAGGGAGATGGAGCTGAGAGAGCGAGAGATGAAGCTCAAGCTGCAGGTGGAGGAGGCGAAGCTGCAGGTGCAGGAGCTGCAGGCGGCGAGCGACTCGCACAAGTCGACGACAGAGAGCCTGACGGGGAAGCTAAACGAGGCGAAGAAGAGGATCGCAAGTTTGGAAGAGAAGGAAGACGGGGAGGAGGAGCGGGCAGAGCTGCGGCAGAGGATGAAGGAGAAGGAGAAGGAACTGACAAGGTTGCGGGCGTCGATGTTGGAGCTGGAGGAGAGGCTGAGGGAGAAGGAGGAAGTTGTTGAGAACCTCAAGAGAGAGATCATGCTGGGAAGGAGAAGACAAGAGGACGCGGAGGAGCAGGTGATTCTCAGCTTGTCTTCCTGCTGCCCCACATCCTCACACGCTAGAATCTCCTCCCCCTCTTCTATCCTCCTCTGCTTCTCTGCTCCTCTGCTCCTCTCCTCATTCTCGCCTCCTCCTCTCCTCGTCTTTCCTTCTTCTTTCTCCTACCACTCTCCCTCCTCTCTCCCTCCCTCTTCTTCTCTTCTCATCTGTTCTTGTCAGATCCCGCGGCTGCGAGCAGAGAAGGAGGTGCTGCAGGGCATGACCAACCAGCTCATGGCCCAGCTGATGGACATGCGAGTTGACAAGCTGACGGCGCTCAGAGGTGAGAAAATGACACAACAAGAGAAGCTCGAGGCCCTCCAGAGCATGATGGAGAAAGCTCGTCAGCATAGCAAGGTTCCTCTTCTTCCTCCTGCTCCTCCTCTTCCTGCAGCTCCTGCCAGTGCTGCGGCTGCGGCTGCTGCTGCTGCTGCTCCTCCTCCTCCTCCTCCTCCTGCTTGTCTTGCTCCTCCTGCTCATCTTGCTCCTCCTCCTCTTCCTCCTCCTGCTCATCCCCATTCCCACCTCTCTTCCTCCTCTAACTCTGAGCAGGCCCTCGCCGCAATCTCCGATAGGCTCCCAGAAGCGAGGAGGAGCGCGATCAGTCGCTTCCTCCATGACCTTCAGAGCTCTCGAGCTTCATCACGTCAGAGCATGGCGACGTTGGGGCTGGACGACGAGGATGCTCCCCTTTCCGAGCTGTCCAGCGTCTCTTCCTCCTCCTTCCTCCGCAAGGACTCGAGCCGGCCTGCCGATCCCCCTCCCACAGTTCAGCAGCAGCAGAGGACACGAGCTGCCCAGGAGGAGCAACTGAGGAACGAGCGCGAACAGTTGGAGGATGGAGTAGAGGAAGTTGTTCTGCAGGATGCTGCGAATTCTCGTCCCCAGGACGAAGAGAAGCAGCCTGTGGAAGAGGAGGACCACAAGCAGCAGCAGCAGCAGCAGCAGCAGCAGCAGCAAGATGAGGAGGATGCTCAGTTCCTTGACCGGGGGGACGGAGCCATCAGTCCAGACTCCAACGAGGGCGACGGCAGCGCCAACTATGACTCGACCTTCCTGCTCAGCGTTGACGGGGACATGGAGGAGGAGAAGGAGGGAGGAGGGAGGAGCGTCGGGGAGGAGGAGGGAAGTCGTTTGCTCGCCAGCATATCAGTTCTGTCTGATCAGCAGGAGGAGGGAAAAGGAGTGGACGGGAAGGAGGGGGGAGGAGAGGAGGAGACGTCACACCGCTCCAACGCAGAGGAGGAGGAGGACGCGCGGAGAGCAGCAGCAGCGGTGAAGATTCAAGCTCGAGCACGAGGGATGGCAGGCAGGCAGCAGGTCCGAGAGCTCCTCCTATCTGCGATGGAGGAGGCAGAGGGGGAGGAGGAGAGCAGGGAGGACAGTCTCAGGTCACATGCTTCAGTGCCTGACGGAGGAGGAAGAGTGAGGGAGCTGCTGGTACCGAACCCTCCGTCAGAGTCTCGCCCAACCTCCTCCTCCTCCTTCCGGCGAGGCAGCAGGCCGAACTCAGGGACGAGGGGAGGAAGTCGACCGGGATCAGGATCTTCGGAGAAGCAGAAGATGTAGAGGAGGAAAAGATGATGATGAGGAGTGGTACACTCATCTTGACACATTACATTATAACATCTCACATAACGTGAACCCGTCTTCCTCCTCCTCCTCCTCCTCCTTCTCCTCTTAACCTTAGTGCACTCTTCCTCCTCCTCCTCCTCCTCTTAACCTTAGTGGACTCCTCCTCCTCCTCCTCTTCTCATCCGAAGCTCCGGCCTGACCCCAGGTACCCGCGCGGTGTCTGCATAATCCCTCAGCTCTGCTCTTTCCTCCCCCACTTCTCACCTCCGCGTGCTGCCGCGCGCCCTTGCGCTGCTGATCCCAGCTGGTGCTGAGCTGGCGGGGGTTCGGGTTATGCATGAAGTGCTCGAATACTCGCCCTGTCATGGCATACTTGTATGGCTCCTGCTCAGCTCGTCAGACCAACTCGCTCACTCCGTCCTCCTCCTCCTCCTCCTCCTCCTCCTCCTCCTCCAGGTCAAGTTCGCTTGTTGTCCCCCTTCCAACCCGCTTCTCCCTCATCGCTCCCGCGACCCCTTGCTCGTCTTTCTTCTCCTCGTCCTCTTCCTCACCTCTTTCTTCTCCGCCATTGCACGTTGAAAGCCTCTCGCTGCTCGACTGCCTGCCGACTCGCTCCACCTTCCAGCTCTCCTGCCCTCTGCTTCCCCCCCCCGCTTCTCCTCCTCCCTCTCTCCTGCCCTCCTCTCCCCGTCTTCCTCCTAACCCTCCCACGTTCCGTGCTAAGGAACCAGCGTCTCCCCTTCTCGGTCGCCCCTCGTTCTCTGCTTGCGACTCCCCGGCTCCTCCCTCAGCTGTTCGCAGCAGCGACTGGGATATGGCGATCCTGCGCTGGGCCAGGGGGTCTTGACTCCTCCTCGACGGCCTCATGCTGTGAAGGAGGAACTGCTCCCTTGCCTTGTTCAGGTCTTGACCCGGATGCCTACCTCCTGCTAGGTGATACCCCGAGAACAGGGTCTCAGGATCTTGGTCCTGCCCCCTCCTCTCCTCCCGCGATCCTTCCTCCCCCCCGTCGTCACTGACAGCTTTCAAGCCACCCAGCCTCCTCCACGCTCCGCCTCCCTCTCGCCTCGCGGCTTCCTGCGCGGCTGAAGGAGGAGAGCAGAAGACTTGAGCCTTGGCGCACTCGGGGGTGACGTCAGCAGCCAGGGGCTCTGCAGGCTGTCGCGCTGGCTGCTGACGCTGCTGACGCTGAACGAGCATCGACTTTCCTCTCGAGATGAGAGCTTGAGCATGCAGCAGCTCCCGCTTCAGCTGCGAAGTCGCAGAAGTGGAGGACAGCTGAAGAGCGTGAAGAGCCTCCCGAACCCGCTGAAGTTTCAGGTAGAGGAGCTTGTAGTCTCCTGCATTGACAAGCTTCTGCCGCTCCATGGCAATGCTGAGATCCTTAAGGGATTTCTTGTTCTCTTCGACCATCTGCTGCATTTTCTCCCGCCCTCCGCTGCTCTCCTCCTCCTCCTCCTCCTCCTCCTTCACTTCGTTCTTTTTCGACAGTTTCTCACTCCGATCGATGATGCGCGCAAGAGCATCAAGTTTCACCTTGGCTGCATGCTCGCCTAGCTGCACTCCCCCCGCACTCCTCCTCCTCTCCCCATCTTGGACAGCAACAGAACCAACAGGCTCCAGCTCGCCGGAGACTTCAAAGGTGGGCTGCTGTACCGACACTGGTGCAGTGGCAGGAGGCAGGAGAGTCTCTTGCTCTGCTGCGATCGGCGTCACAGGCTCTTGAAGGATTACGCTGTTCGAGCTGACTGGTAGCTCGTATGAAACAGACTCCGGCGCCTCCCTTTCGTTCACATATCCTTGGTCGAAAAGTTCGCCGATGCTCTCGGCAACCCTCGGATCAGCGTTGCGCACGACAAACGTCACGTCCTGAGAAGGCACCATAGCCACCTGGCGGTCAACCTCCATCGGCGTCACCTGCTCCCCCTCAGTACAAATACAACATGGCCACATTTCTCATACCTCCGATCGCCATCCCAGCTCAGCCCGTCGATCGGTACTTTGCAAGTGATGAACAGTGACCATGACAAGGGCAACACCCAGAAACAGAGTCGCCGCGATGCGCAATGCTCCCATCTTGTAGCAAGCTGCTCGAGTCCTTAGCCTCCTCAGAGTCCTACAAGAACCATACGACGAAGGGACAGCGATTCGATCGGCAGAGCGCGCTAGCTGTTGATGCTCTTCCTCCTCTTTTCCTTCCTTCTCTCTCTTTCCTCTTCTTCTCTCTGTCTCTCTCAGCTCTTCATGGCGTTCTCCAACATCGTCGTCACCCTTGTCTCCTCCAGCCTGCCGCCGCGCTCGCTATCTGGACATTGCTCTATTTCCGGTGCACGCGGAGGGATGAGGGGCAGCCACTGAGGCGGGCAGGGGCAAGTGTGGGGATGAGGGCAAGTAGGTAGTATGTGGGAGATGAGTGTCAGGGGATGAGGGCCAGAATTTTGTTATGAAGGGTAGGTGGGGTGGTAGTTTATTCGTGTTGAAGGGGTGTATCCTAGCCTAGATTTCAGTTCTACCAAGGGTGGGTTATTATAAATTTCCTGCAAATCCACAGGGGTAGGGTAGTCAAGAAGAAGATGGTTCACATGTGGAAATGGTTGGCGATGGTAGGGATGGGGGCGATGATGGCGGATGAGGCGATGGCGTTCCTCCCAGCATCGAGCTCTCATGTTCTCCGTCCCTCCTCCTTCCACATCTCATCGTTGCGCCCCCGCTCCTCCTCCTTGCCATGCAGAAGTACGTGAGAGACTTGAGACTTGGTTTCTAGGTGGTGGGATGGGAGGTGGTTGTGCAGCAAGATTCTCGTGTCTTGCAACTTTCCAGCAGTCACCTTGCCATGCAGAGCGACAAGTGAAAGAGAGGGCTGGAGCAGGACAGGGGTCGATGTCTATCTTCCCGACTGGCTCCGGATGTGCAGGATCAGTAGAAAGGTAGGCTCTCTGCCTTCCCCTCTCGTTCTGCTTCCATGACTTTCAAAACTCTCCATGACCCATCCTCATCGCTGACCGTCTCGTGAATGATGACAGATCGGAAGGGAGTTTAGACATCTCGCTCCCGTACCCGCTGGATATTTCAGATCCGTTCGTACGCGATACGATGACAGATCGAGTTCCAACCAAGATTCTCGGAAGAACGGTGAAATACAACGAGAACTCTCTGCCTAAGGAGTGCCTCGAAGCAATCAGTACGTCCTCCCTCCCTCCTTCCAACCTGCCATGCTTGCCATGCCTGCCTGCCTCGTTCTCTATGCTGACGGGTGGATGCAAGGCGCGATAGCCGACGAGATGCGAAGCAACAAGCAGATCTCACCTCTCACTCACTGTCCGAGGTTCGAGGAATGGAACGAGTACCTCAGCAAGTACCTGTCCCGCGGAGCCACTTGGTCTGCTCCTCCTTCCTCTGCCTGGTCTGACGCCTGCTAGGAACGAGCTCCCCTGGTACGTCTCCGAGACATACGTCTACCACAGACTGCTGGAAGCGACGGGATACTTCAAGCCGGGCACCAAGGGATATGGCTTTGACGTGTTCGCGGCGGAGAAGAAGGAGGCGCTGGAGCAGGCGCTGCCTCAGGTAGACGTCAGGATGCAGACTTGCATGCAGGCCAAGGGCAAGTGGTCGTTCCAGGACTTCAAGTCGCTCCTGCACATGTCGCTGTGGGGGAATCAGGGGGACAGCAGCCTGTTCACCGTGCAAGACATGTCGTCCAAGGGAATTTCCGACGTGGAGCAGTCGAGGCTCATAGTCGACGACTCGAGCCTCTCGTTCCTCATACTGGACCGCAAGCAAGTGCCTGTCATTCACATCTTCAACGACAACTCCGGAATGGAGCTCGTGTCTGACTTGGCCCTTGCCCACTACCTGGTCTCCTCGAAGCCCTCTTCCACTGTCGTACTGCAGCTGAAGCCCTATCCCTTCTTCGTCTCCGACGCCACGGTGGCAGACGTTCATGCCACGATAGAGACGCTCAGGCTGAGCTCCAATGCTAACCAGCAACAGGTCGGCAATCATGCGGGCGTGTGAGAGAGTGAGGCGTGTAAGGCGTGTCGCAGGTTGCCGCGGACTTGCTGCAGTACATTCAGGATGGCAGGATACGCCTACAGGGCGACGGAGACCTCAATTTCTTCCTAGCTTCCCCCAAGCCCATGTGGGAGATGCCCCTGAATGTTCGCGACTCCCTGGCAGATGTCGATCTCGTCATCTGCAAGGTACGTCAGGCGCGATCGAGAGGCGTCGCTGACGCTCCTTCAGGGCGACTTGATGTACCGCAAGTTGTTGGGAGATCGGACGTGGAACACCAACGAGCTCTTTCAAGACATCATTAGCTACTTCCCCTGCTCAGTCACGGCTCTCCGCACCTGCAAAGCCCCGCTCGCCATCGGGGTAGATGACGAAGCTTCTGAAAGGCTGAGCAAGGCATCTCCCTCTTGGATGGTGAACGGAGAGTACGGGATGATCCAGTTCTGCCTTCCTCCCATTCTCTATGACCTTCAAGTCAGCGACTCGTTGATTCGCATCAACATGGATGAAGAAGCTTCCATCCAACGTATGCAAGGCATGATGCGCTAAGTGTCAGTAAACTCACTCGATCCTGACTGAACCGACTCAACACAGTCATGGCCAACAGATTTCACGTTTCCCAGCACTCACGTCATCTCAGAGTAAAGGCTCAGTCCTATCAGTGAGGGTTTCATGCAGTAGTCCAAGCTCGCCTCAGCCAGTAGCCCACCATTGTGCTGTATGAGGACCAACGGTAGCCACTTTGGGCATGGCAGGAACATGAGTGGGAGAGTGGGAGGCGAGCGAGGAGGAGGAGGAGGAGGAGGAGGAGGAGGAGGAGGAGGAGGAGGAGGAGTGGCAGCAGAGAGGGGAGTCAGGGGATAGGCAGAAGGTATTGAAGCAAGAGGAACTCAAGACCTGAGATGCGAGGTAGAGACAAGGAGGGAGGGAGGGACCTTTCTGCGATGTTTGAGGACATGTATCCCCCGACCCGCGAGGATGGAGGAGGGGAGAGGTCAGGCATCATGAAGATATCAGCAGGCGGCAGTAGGAAGAGCATGAAGCGCGTTGGGTGGAATGAACCAAGAGATCTCGGAGGGACGCTACGGCGAGCAGTGTCAACAGCAGATGGAGGGCCCCGTAGGTTGGCCTTGAACTTTCTTCCTCGCTCTGCTGGCGCCAGTCGAGCAGGACGACAGAACGGGCAGGGATGGAGCAGCGGGGAGGAATGGAGGAGCCCGGAGAGCCTGGAGCTGCCGCAGACGCTGCACATGACACTCAAGGACCAAAAGGCGATGAGCAAGTTCGAGCTGACGCTGAAGCACAAGGAGCGCGCAGAAGCTCAGTTCTGGGGGTATGGGAGGAGGGTGCGACCCGGAAGCAGGCAGGGAGAGGACGGACGGAAGGCTGCGCTGCTTCCCCCGTGGACCTTGTCGGCAAAGACGTTGATGGTGATGAGTGAGATCGGGGAGGGACGAGTGGCGATACCGCGAGAGAAGCTTGACTCGATCAGAAGAAAGATGCACGTGCAGCTGTCAGCCTCCTCCTCCATCGAGCCGTCGGCGATGCACGGGATGAGGCAGCGGACTCTGCTGCTTCGCGAGTCTCCGATGTTGGCAGTGCTGCCGAGAGAGCTGCTGTCTGAGCAAGACTCCATGTGCGTCTCCGTCTGCGACAAGCAGTCGGCTCAAGGAAGTCTGCGGGAGCTGATGGCCGACCCTCTCGTCTCCTTCCTCCTTGCCAACGGCTTGCAGGTCAACGCGGAAGAGCTGAGGGAGCTGGTCCAGGGAGTGAGGGTCGTGGCTCTGAGGGAGAACTCGATGGAGGACAAGGACGTCTGCTGCATCGCTGGTGGGTTGACGCACGCGGATCGAGTAACGGCGGTGATCATCCAAGACAACAGCATCGGGGAGGCAGGGCTGGAGGCCTTGAGTGTCGCCTTGAGCACTTGCGGTGAGTTGCGATGTCTCGACCTGTCCCGCAACAAGATGGAAGGAGAGTCTCTGCGACATGCGGCGATGCTCCTCCTCCCCTGCCCCTGCCACCATGTCTTGCAGTCAGCCATCAGAGAGGACAAGGTGTCAGTCGTGACCTCCTTCCTCCAGCATGTCGGCGAGTCTGCTGCGACGATACTGGTCAAGGGCGACACTCTGTTGATGACCGCGGCGGAGCACGAGGCTCTCGATGTGATGAAGTATGCCTTGCGGTCTGGCGCCAGCATGGAAGACAGAGACGAGCACAGGCGGACAGCGTTGCTCCGAGCTGCCATGGCTGGGAAGTTGCTGTCAGTGAGGTTCCTCAGAGAGCAGGGAGCACACATGTCGGTGCAAGACAAGCATGACAGTTCGGTTCTTGACATGGCCGTGCGGTCAGGCAAGATCAAGGTGGTTGAGTACCTGATCCGAGAGATGACCCTCGCAGAGCCAACGCTACAAGTGAAAGTGACGCGAATGTTCCTGCACAGAAGTTTGTTTGACCTGATAGCATTTCTCGAAGGAGAGAGCGAAGGAGGAGAAGACCAAGGGAAAGGAGAAGGGGAGGGAGAGAAAGCAGGTTCTGTCAGCGCTGATCAGGGTCAAGCGCCTCGCGTCTTCCTGAGGCTGCTCGTCAAGTCAGTCATGGTGGGCGAGTACGAGGTGACGAAGGAGCAACGGCAGGGGTCCCCCAACCTCATCGTCTCCTGCGAGGGCATCCGCCACCTGCTTCCCTGCTGCATCTCCTTGCAGGTCGTCTGTGCCGCTCGGGACCGAAGCTTTCTTCTTGCCTCCTCCTCCCTCCCCTTGTCTGGCATCTCCGATGTGCAGGCTTGGTGCACGCTGCGAGATGAAGGAGGAGAGCAGGAGGGGCAGGAGGGGCAGGAGGGGCAGGAGGGGCAGGAGGGGCAGGATGTGCATGGCTACGTACATCTGAGCTGCAAGATGTGCGGGCAGGAGATACTGAGGGAGAGCGTGACGGGAAAGAACGCGATCCTAGAGGCCATTCGCAACGGGCAAGAAGAGGTGGCGAAGCAGCTTCTCAGCTCCTGCCACTCCGTCGACTTCAGCAGCCGCGACGGAGTCACGCCCCTCATGGTTGCGGCGAAGCATCGCCGAAGAGCCGTGGTGAGATACCTGCTGGGCAGAGACGCGGACCCCATGGCGACCAACTGCAAGAGCATGTCGGCGTACAAGTTTGCGCAACAGTCGGAGGACAAGCACGTCCTCGACCTGCTGCGATTCTACCTCAAGGTCAAGAACAGCGTGGGGGTCACCGTCGACCAGTGGCCCTCGTTCGCTGACTACACGCGATCGAAGCTGAGGAGGAGAGGCGAGCGCGAGGGCGTGAGGGAGGCCGAGGACTTTGTGGCCTCCAAGTTGACGGTACAAGTCGTTCGAGCCAGGAACCTCCCAGCTGCCGACCTCTCGGGCTCCTCCGACCCCTTCGTGACTCTGGACCTCAACGGACAGAAGAAAAAGACGCAGGTCAAGCGCAAGACGTTGAGCCCGGAGTGGCGGGAAAGCTTCGAGTTCGAGGACCTGACGCGCGGGGTCTGGTCGGAGCAGACGTTGGTGGTAGAGGTGTACGACTGGGACTGGCTGAGCAAGTCTGACCTGCTGGGAGTCGTCAGAGTTCCCATCTCCCTGGCCCAGCTGCTCTCGGAGAAGCGCGTCTCTCACTGGTTCCAGCTGGAGGATGCGGACGGGAAGCTCGTGATGGCGACAGCAGACGCCAACGAGCAGCAGGGTAGGAGGAGCGAGGTGGAGCTTTCCTTCTCCTACTGCGAGGGCAGGGGAAGCTTCTTCCAGCTGGAGGTCAGGCGGGCGATCAACCTGTTCTCTCTGCAGCCCAGGAAGCTGTTCGTGAGTCTGCTGGGTGTGGAGCTGGAGCTAGAGACTGGGCGGATCTCGGAGACGAGCGACTTCTGGTGGGGCGAGTCTTTCCGCTTCCCCCTCAAGGAGGATGGCGGAGAGATCGACCTGGTGGTTCGCGATGCCGCAAAGATGAAGGAGGAGGAGGCTGTTGTCGCAGCCGCCTCGCTACCGCTAGAGCTCCTACGGGAGATGTATGAGGTCGGCCTGACTGAGTTGCCCTTGTCCCTTCCCGGTGCCGTCAGAGTGACCAAGGACGGGGAGGAAGCGACGCCTGCTGTGCTTGTGCTGGGCTTCTCGTTCAGCAGGTTCGAGGAAGAGGGAGAGGGGACTCACGAGCTCGATGAGTCGAAGGCTCCTGCTCAGACGTTGCTGAGCCTGCGGGCTCAGCGGCGGCTGATGAAGAGCGCCATCAAAGTCGGAGACGCGCAGGGGGTAATGGAGGAAGCGTTCCGAGAAGCTCTGCGCGTCAACGGAGGCTCGGTTCCCTTGGAAAGACTGTGCGAGCTGGTGGTGGAGACCGGGATCGACCTGACGGAGGAGGACGTGCGAGTGAGGACTCGATTCTTCTGCGGAGCTGGGGGGCAGCTCGACAACTACGGGCTCTTCGTGCTCGTGCTGGGCCTGCACCAGGTCTTTCGCTCCCGCAGCTCGAGCGGTGAGGGCGCGAGGTTGGTGGTCGGGCGGGAGGTGGAGCCGAGGGTGGGACTGCCCGTCATAGTGAGAGAGGAGGGCGAGGAGCTGGAGCAGCTGCTGGCCAAGACGTTGAGCGGACCGGGAGTGATCACGAGGGTGGAGGAGGAGGCAGTGGAGGTCATGTGGGACTACTCGGGGGCGACCTCAACATTCTCCTCCTCCTCCTCGCCCGGCTCTGAGAGCTCCATAGCGCTGCTGTCGGTCTGGAGCCCCTCCAAGGAGGAGGTGGCGGAGTTGAAGAGATTCGTCAACGCACATGTGCACGCGCGGGAGGGTCAGATGGTGAGGAGGAGCGGAGGAGCGAAGGGAAGCAGAGGGCAAGTCATGGAGGTCAAGCACGGGGCTGATGAGGCATCGTCCTCCTGCTCTGTCGTATGGGAGGACAGCAAGACGGTGGAAGAGTGCAGGATAGGCAAGGACGGGGAGTTTGAGCTGATCCTGGACAGCAAGCCGTCGAGCATCGCCTCGTCGGATCTCTCGCACCTACAGCAGGAGCATGTGGTCAACAAGCTCACGAGACTTGTCTTAGACGGCAACCACCTCGGCGACGTCGGGGCAACGGCGTTAGGAGCGATGCTGAGCAGAAACCAGTCGCTCTCCCTCCTCTCCCTCTGCGACAACTGGATCGGACCGGAAGGCTCGACCGCGCTAGCGGAGGGGATGAAAGGGAACGAGGGGATAGAGACTCTTCGTCTTAACGGCAACGTCATCGGCAATCAGGGCATGCCTGCCTTCCTCGACCTCCTCGGCTCCTCCCCCAGCTCGCGCTTGAGCTGCTTGGAGCTGAGCGGCAACGCCATCGGGCAGGCGGGCGTGCGAGTGCTGGCGAGGGCGCTGGTGGACAACTCGCGCCTGACCCGGCTGGACCTGAGCCACAACCTGCTGGGAGCTGACGGGGCTGCCTACCTGCGCAAGGGGCTCGAGAGAAGCGTCGGGCTGCGAGAGCTGCTGCTGGACCGGAACATGCTGGGAGACTCAGGCTTCATGCAGGTGGCGCTGGCGTTCAGCCAGGGGATGAAGGGGGCGATGAACAGAAGCCTGACGCTGCTGTCGGTGGCTGGGAACAACATCTCCGACAAGGGCGTCATGCACATGCGCGACATGTTGGGACGTGAGTGCAAGCTGAGCATCATCGAGCTGGAGGGCAACGAGGTCTCTCCTGCTGCCCTCGCCCTCCTGCACGAGAAGCTGGCGGTCAACGCGGAGGCCCAGCAGCTGGAGGCAGCGGTGATCAAGCTGCAGAAGGTGTTCCGAGGGTCCCGCCAGCGAGCCAGGGAAAAGCGAAGGAGGAGGAGAAAATCGCAGAGGTCTCTTGCCCCCCCTCCTCCGCCTCCCCCTCGCTCTCTCATCCGTCAAGTCTCCGACGCTCTCCTCAAGGCTGCACGCGCGGGCACCTCGAGGAAGGACGTCACCGCCCTCGCCCCTCCCACCGCCAGCACCCCCTACGACTGGGAAGACAACCAGACCATGGAGCGCATGGAGGCGCTGGGAATGATGGCGATGCAGCAGCACGCGATGCTGAAGGCTGCGATGAGCGCGAGCGACGTGGAGGAGGAAGAGCTGAAGAGGATGATGGAAGAGTACAAGACAACATACGAGGCCTTCTCAGTAATGATCGACAACGCCACCTCCTACCTCGACCTCGAAACTAGTCACATTGACGACATCATTCAAGAAGCCTCGCTCCTTGGCGATGACGACGAGGACGCGGAACGCATGGCTCTTGCTGGCGACGAGCGGCAGGAGGCACGTGCAGAGGAGAAGGAGCGGGAGGAGCGGGAGGAGCGGGAGGAGCGGGAGGAGCGGGAGGAGCGGGAGGAGCAGGAGGAGCGGGAGGATGGCAGGAAGGCAGGAGGAGAGGTGAAGGAGGAGGGAGAGCTAGATGAGCACGCAGACATGGTCCTCACGTCAGTCAAGCTTCATGTCTACAACGTGGGTAACGCAGTCTTGGAAGAGCAGCTTGCGGCCGAGCAGCTCGCGCGAGATGCGGGGATGAGAGTGTTGGAGGCGACGGAGAAGTACATGAAGATGGAGGAGCATCTCCGGCGAGTCATCGAGAGTGAAGACACCTCCGACCAGGACGTCCTCCTTGCTCTTGATGCCCTCCAGGCAGCCAAGGAGGAGGCAGCGCGGGTGGTGCAGGAGGCTGAAGTTGCGGAGAAGTCGGCAGAGCTGGTGTTGTCCTCCACTGCGCTTGCTGACGTGGAAGCGCAAGAGCGGGAGATCGCCCTCGCCTTAAGCACGATGCCGTCCAGCTCCCAGCAGCCTCGGCGCGCAGAGGAGGAAGAGGAGGAGGAGGAGGAGATGCAAGGAGGAGATAAGGGTTTCAGTGATGGTGCGCATGCCCAACACAAGGAGGATGGGGTAGAGGAGTGGCTCGAGGGACGTACAAGGCAAGAGGAGCTGATTGCAGATGACTGGCAGGGAGAGCGCAGGCGGGCTGAGCACGAGCGCTGGATCAGAGGGCAGCGGGTGGATGAAAATGTGCACGAGAAGGATGCATATGAACAGCCATGGCAACGAAGTGAGGAGCAGAAACACAGGTTCAACTTTCTCAACGTCCAGGAGGAGGAAGAAGACGAGGAGGAAGAGGAAGTGATGATGGTGGAGGAGCAGGAGGAGCAGGAGAAGCAGAAGTTTCTTGCCATGGCGGAATCTGCGAACCATTTGGTCAACTTCCATCATCAGATCAGAAGGATGCTGGAGGTGAAGGAGGTGGACCATGCCGAGGTAGAGCGCTCGCTGCAGGAGTTTGTGAGAGCGAAGGAGGAGGCGATGACGTACTTCGACGACATGTACAAGAGCGTCGAGCATGAGATCGAGGACGTCCTCCGAGAGTTGCAGGAAAACGGCATCTCAGCGCAGGATTTGAACGAGAATGACCGTGGGGCTCAAGGCGAGGATGAGCAGGAGATGGCGAGAAGGGCCGCCGAGGAGGCACGGAGGATGGTTCAAGGATGGAAAGAAAGTGCCGAGCAGGAGCTCATGGCGGCAAGGCAGTAGCGTAGGCGTATACATACAAATCGTTAACTTTGCTTCCTCTGCTCCCTTCCTGTCGCATCTACACGCCTGGGGGCCATGAGAGCTGCTTGGTCCCGATGACGTGGATGTGTAGGTGGTAGACGGACTGACATCCTTCCTTGCCGTCGTTGATCACGTACCGACACCCTTGAGGACAAAACTTGCGCCCGACCTGCGCTGCCACGAGCATGAGGTGACCGAGGCATTCCTGTGAGGGAGGAGACATCAGTCAGGGAGAAAGCCGCCAGCATGCCACTGCACCTGTGCCTGCTCGCTGCCGACCTCTTGCTCAGCCCTGGAGAGCTGAGAGATCTTGAGCTTGGGGATGACGAGGATGTGCGTCGGAGCAACCGGGTTGATGTCGCGGAAGGCGAGGCACTTGTCATCCTCGTAGACCTTGTCGCATCCGATCTCTCCTCTAGCCATCTTACCAAAGATCGTGTCCTTTGTTGAGTCCGATGGCGGTTCCTTTCCCTCCTCTGAAAACAGCCTCCTTCCCTCCCCCCTCCCTCGCACACCCAACGTTACCGGCTTCCAAGGCAACCCCAGTGCCAAGGATCTGTGGGGAGTGAAGGGGGAAGGAGAGAAGGCGAAGGGGAGAGGAGATGCTCTAGTTTTTCTACCGAGGACGCATGCTGTCGTCATGAGAAAGGCGCACGACCTCCCTGCTCCTGCTCCTCGCCCTCCCGCCATCACCATACGACTCGGCACCATCGAGCAAAGTGCTCGGTCGTTTCAGATCCGTTACAAGAGAAATTTGGTGGCCCGGCCCGGGACTAATAAACGGTCCGACTCACAGAGTCACTCACGTACGGTACGGTCACCGGGTCTCGAACCATACCTAGTCCGAGTCATCAGGCAGTGACTCCGGGATACCCCCGGCGGCCCCGGGGCATGCACAGGGCCCGGCCAGTGGCAGGCCCGTCGGACGGTCCGACGGTCGGACGGCGGCACGGAGCTGCGGCCAGCCTGTGAGTCACTCGACTGAGGTTCTGCTACCGTACGATGGCTGACAATCACCGTACTGTCATGGGCCTGACTCAGTGATGGAGTTGGACTCAGTGACTCGAGGCAGCGCGTTGTGAGCAATCATGTCATTCTATTCAATTACCATGGCAGCCTCGGATTTTCGACAGATAATCTTCCAAGGATATCCTGAGAAACAAATCTGCCTTTTCCTGCTCTTCGGTGATTTGGTCTCTGCTGAAAATGGATCGGATATTGAAGATGAGGAGCTGTACAACGAAAGCTCTTTCCAGCTTCTGTGCGCCCAGACGCATATTGCAACGATGATTGAGGGTGCTCCAGATCTTGACCGCTTCCCCGAAGGTATCTTTGGCCAATAGGCGGAATCGTGACATGAGAGAATCCAAAGGTCTCTGACTCTCCGTTTCCATCTCGGTAGCACAAGCTTCATTCATGGGATACAGCCGAGCCGAGAGAAGGTTCGAGCTCTGTGAGCACGCACAGAAGTCCACTCCAGCCTCCTCCGCGCTCTGCTCGAGTTTCGCACAGACTTGCGCGTCCAGCAGCGTCGTCATCTCCTGCATCGGCCCCTTCCACGGTCCCCAAATGAGGCTGATCCCGTTCGGTAGAACTCCAGCGAAGTAGTGCAGCCCTGAGGGCGTCCATGGCTGTGACGAGTCGCTGCGATCCAGGATGCCGCAGCTGTGTCCTGCTGGAAGATCCGTCTGCTGGTAGTGCTGATCCAAGAACATCACGACCCCTTTGCGCGATAGGCCCAGCGAGTGGACATGGCTGGAAAATTGAGCAAGATCTCCTTTCCAGGAGTTGATATCACATACGAGAGGGGAATACTTATTGTACAGCATGTCTGTCATAGCGGAGAATGTGTCAGACAAAACGGTCCTTGAGCCACCCATGATTTCTTGTAAGTCCGACCAGCGGCAAGGTACGGCAGATCTGCGCAAGAATATCATCATTGCTTTGTCTGCTGAAATCCGATACTTGTGGCCCGTCTTGCCAAGGTGAAGCACAGAAGGAGAACCGTTGGCCATCATGCGCTGACCTTTGTCGTCCTCGAGAGATGCTAATAGTTGATGGAATTGCTCCTTGTTGAAGCCAAAATACTCCAGAAATTCGACTGAGGAGAAATCTGCTGGAGATTTGATTTCTCCATGCGACAAGGGACGCTTAGTGGGAAGAGAAAGAAGCTTGTAATCATAATCGAGAATCACCAACAACAAACACACCCTGAAACGAAACCAAGTCATATAATTCAAACGTTGCTCCAGCGGCATGGAGGAACCGAGGTAGACGACGGTTCTCTGGTTGTAGAAGCTGGTGATCAACAGTGCGAGGCAATTGTGGATGCGATTTTCCACCTCCTCCCTCTCACCATGGAACAAGAAGGAGCGAGCTTCGAAGGACCGTGCTAACCCCTCTAGCAACTTCACCATGGTCGCCGTGGGCAGCTCCCTTGAGGTGGACTGCGGCGGTGCCATTGCAGCAATGGCCAACCTCGTAGTTGAGTTTTGGCGCCAACGAAAACTTCTCTAATCTTTTACTCAAAGTTAAGTTAAAAATCAGTACGAGGACACTCTCGCTTCTCACACTACTGAGTCTACTCGGTTCACCTTTAACTCATTCAAGGCTAGCAGCCGCCGGATCATCGCGGGCTACTCAGGCTGTAATGAAACTCGGAAGTTAGTTTAGGAATCCTCACCAGTTGGATGATAGTTTATCATAACAGTGTGCGCTCAGTCCAAAACTCACGGTCACAGACTCGCAAGGCCCTCAGGTATGCTGATTGGGAGAAATCAACACTTCAGTTGAATTTAAAGATCTATGAAAATCCTTGTGGAAGTAATGAGTCAAAATATACGAGAAAGAATACTTTCATTACATCTTTTAAATGAATAACAACGTATCTACAATTAACAATTAACTTCTAGATCTGCGTTGACTTCTGATCTCTTCGCATGTCAGTTCAAGGCGAACGCAGTTCCTACAGGGACGATAATTGTCGCAAGCCAGGTGTGATTTCCTGCAACAAGAGCAGGCAGCTTTGACATACTTCCGCGCTCCATTGGAATCAGTTGAAGGAGCCGGCGAGGGCGACTTTGTGGACTCGCCGTCGCTGGGAGTCCCCAGTACCTCATCCAGCGTCGGAGGAACGTAAATCTTGGTGTGCTCAACCCGCTCACACTTTGAGCCATTTTTGGTGCAATTGCGGCACGGCTGACCATCATCGCACGCAAGGTGGGAAGACCTGCAAGACACGCAAGCTGCTTTCGTGTACACACGTTTCCTCTTGGCGGGCTCTGCTCCACCCGGCGTGACCTCAATGAGCTTTTCCTCGGGCTTCGACCTCTTGCCCAGTGATGGCTTGACATCCTGAGTAGAAGGCTGCGAGATCGGCGAGAAGGTCTTGTGAGCCATTTCAGCATACTGCGCTCCCAGTACGTTGAGATTTGGCTTGACAGGCTTGAGCTGAGTCACTCCACTCTTCTGCACGATGATCTGCTGAATGAGATTCACGATGTTCTGCATGGCAACATTCTGCATCTGTTGGTTTTGCTGCCCTTCGAAACCGAATCCACCCATGAGAACGTTCAATGAGTTTTCTGGTAAGCTTGCGACAGGAGTTACATGTGCCATGGAGAACCGATCACTCTGTATGGGAGAACGATGGAAAGACTGAGGAGCCACCGATGGCGAGAAGAAAGGAATCTGTTCACTCAAGGACCTCAAGGGAGGAAGCTTCACCCCTGCGCTGCGATCTTGGACAGAGGTCCAGTGGGGCTCGACAAGCAAAGACATGGAAAGAAAACGGAGTAAGGGGCTATGCGTGGAGCAAGCTAGTTTGCTGAGCAAGGTCTAGGGAAGATGCTGTAAGAAGAGGACGTAGGGAAACGAGAGCAGCACGGTGGTCACTTGAGGTTACAGCTCCAACTTATATCAAACGACAAGAACGGGGAGGGCAGAGAAGCGAACGGGAGGCTACGAGATTGAGATGAGAATGAGATAGGTGGGGTAGTCAAAAAAGGGGGTGGTCATCGAGAACTATGGTGCTTAAGAAATAAATCGAGGTTAAAGCAACAAGACCTACAGGGGTGTGGTAATGAATGTGTTGATTAGAGGGGTGTACATCCCCTCGAAGTTGATTCTAAGGGTAGTAGTTATTCAATTCTTCTTATCGAGGGTGGGTACTGGTGTAGTTGAAGGGGTACTTGCCGTGATCATACAGCTGCTTGGTCTCAGAAAAAAACATTCTTGAAAGGCTACAAGGTTGGAGCTTTTCAAACCTCATCGTTTCAAAGGCTACAAGATCGTAGCTATTGAGCTCTCGCAATCAAACCCACGGAAATATTCCGCTCAGTAAACATCGAATTTCATTATTAATCTGTACTTTTGAAATTGTTACAAGGATATTGAAATATTGCAGGTGGTCACTGCTGTAATTCAGCTACCGGAAGTCTTCCGACAAGTCATCACTAGACGATACCGTTCTGTATAAACATTTTGTTCAAAAGCTCTATTTTGACTAACGATTGAGTACCGAAATGGATCGTTTTCGCATCTTGGTACGTCTCCTCTTGGTACGTAGCTGGTCCACATGCGTTACGTACCTGGAAGAGTCAGCCCCCCCCTTTACTACAAAATGACCCACGTGCACGTCGCCAGAAATATATTGGCAGTCATTATGATGGGTTTGCTGCCTGTAACATTTGAGTAGCTAATATCCGAGGGGGACTTGATTACTATTGTGTTAGATGTTTGAGTGCCATCACCATTCGGCGGGACCCCGGACCCTCGGACCGGGCCCCGAGGACCGGACGGAGCCCCCAAACCGTTACATGCAGTATTCCTTTGCAACCTGACGGTTCTACGACGTTACAGAGTTCGCGATGGTCGGGGGCTGAAGATGGTCAGGAGAGCTGCGATAGCGATCTTGCTATGCGCACTTTTGGCAAGCTCACAGTCTCCTCCTCCTCCCCCCCCACCGCCACCGCCACCTCCCTCCATCCCCCCCCCTCCTCCCCTCCCTTCTTTCCCCCTTCCTCCTCCGCCGCCTGAAACGGAACTACACAGTGATTCTATTCCATCTCCTCCAACAACTTCAGTCAGTTCTTCACAGCTCCCCTCGTATTCTTTCCACTCACCTCCTCTTCCTGCTGTCCAAGACCCACTCTCCTCACTGCCGATATCACCTGCATTGGACGCGATGGAGGAGGCAGCGAGTCCGCAGCGTGGAGGGGGGATCACACACGAGCAGATAGCAAGGCTTCAGTTCTCTCCCACTCTCCATCGAACGTCTCTGAGGGCGAAGCCTTTCCTAGTTCGTCTGAAACCTCGTGAGGCTCTGCTGTCTCTCTCCTATGCTCGTTCCTGACTTCTTCCCAGTCTCCTCAACCCGGCCGGGCTTCCGGCTCCATGGTGTCGCGATGAATCTGGAGACTGAGGGCAAGGGCGTTTCAAGGACGACAGTTGTGAATCAGTCACTGGTACACTCGAACTCGTCGGACATGATTCCTTCGCGTCATGCTCTCAACTCTTCTGATGTGAACATCTCAGACTCGCATGCGACCCCGACAGCACCGTTGCGTGCTCCCCTACCCAAGAACGGGACTGAAACAGATGCCTCGCTGTGCTGCCATGCAGCGGACAACTCCTCCTCTTCTTCTTTTCTAGCAAATTCCTCGTCTTCTTCCTCCTCCTCATCGTCAACGCCCTTGTCCTCGTCCTCGTCCTCGTCCTCGTCCTCGTCCTCGTCCCCTCCTTCCTGCAACATGACTGAAGGATCTGCATCGGTCACTGTCAGGCATTCTGATACCAACGCTTCCGTGACGGCCGCTGGTGGGGAAGAGGAGCGAGGAGGAGGAGCAGAAGCGGAGCAAGAGAAGATGCCAGAGGAAGAAAAGATGAAGCATGAGATTGATTCACTGAAGCAGCAGTTGGAGCATGAGGTTTGAACGCTCAGCAGTGATTGGCGGTTGACCCTGTTCTGTGCAGAGAGAAGAAAGGATTAGGATTGAGGAGTCAGCTCAGTCTGATCGATCCAAGTTGAGAGATCAGATGGAGAATTACGAGAAGATGGTATTCGAAGAATGTCTGCTTGTTACTATTGGAATTTCATCAACCAGGAGGAATCGTTCTTTGTCTCGTGTTTTGATCGATCTGTTGAAAGATCTGGTTTTATCACGTTCTTTTTCTTGCATTCCTTCCTTTCCGTCTCACTGTCTCTGCCTCTGCCTCTGCCTCTGTCTCTGTCTCTGTCTCTGTCTCTGCCTCTGCCTCTGTCTTCCTGTCTCCTTCCAAATCCTTTGTCTCGCTCATCGCTGTTCCCTGCACGATCAGGTTGCAGACCTCAAGAGTGCGGTGGAGGAGAAGGAGATGCGAGTGAAAAAGATGGCGGAGGAGCTGAACGCGTCTCGGATGAAGGAGCAGAAGTTTCAAGCCAAGTTCGACCTGATCTGCTCCGTTCGCAAGCAGCAAGATGAGGATGCTGCGAACCTGCTGATGAAGGTGGGGAAGCAGGGAGGACAGGAAGGGCGAGGGGGGAAGAAGTAGAGGGAGGGAGGAGGGATGGGAGCATGGGGGTTATAGCAGTGTCAGAAGGTCAGAGGAGGGAGGAACAGGAATGATGGTGAGGAATAGATCTCCCGGCACCTGCATTTTGTTTCCGACATTCAAACAAGAGTATCATCGCTACAAGACGCGTGGACGGTGAGTGGAGGGAGCGGAGGGAGCGGAGGGAGCGGAGGGAGCGGAGGGAGCGGAGGGAGGGGGCGAGATAAGGGAGGCAGAGTAGGCTGGGATGGCAGAGGAGGGTCACGATGGTGTTGCCTTTCGTAGCGAGATGAGGTACTTACTTCCAAACAGCGATATACCACGAACACATCAAACTCGAGGTGAGCTGAGAAGGGGAGGAGGGAGGA